TGAGGATCCATTCGTTTTCCTGGTCGTTTCAATGTTAGGTTTTGTGTTTTCGGTCCTATATTTCACCTGCTCGGTACACGGTGTACTGATCCCTTTCATTCTATTTTTAGGTAATGAAAAAATGGTCAATGAACATTCTATGGTGAATGGTGGTATCTAAGATATATGGTCAAAGGGATGTTTGTAATTTCATTCGATTTGATGGTATGAAATGGTCAAGAATGAAATAAACAAAAGTAAAGGGAACAAGTCTTATAGAAAAAGGTAGGTGGGTGTTTGAGTAGGTTGGTTGGTTTCGTGTAGGAATATTTCCGGTGTGTGTTGGAACGGGGAGGCGATTAGAAGCGACGTACGGTTCTGCAAATCTATGTCCCTGTTCCTTTGGAGAAAGGTTTATTGACGTGCTATCTCGCCCTCTGAGTCTCCGATATGACCGGTGGACGTATGGTGTGTGTGTGTTGGTACGAGGTTTAGTTGCCCCATTGCTCCGACTATGAGTCATCGACCAGTGAAGTGGATTAGCTGGTACCCTTGTTTTGGCCGAGACGGTTAGTGAGCGAATGATTCACTCCCTTGTATCCAGCTCATGTGCTGGCTTTGAGAGGGTCGTGGAGGTGGCAAATTGGGTGGGCATAACACTGAAAGACGACCAGGATCCCGAGACAGGGTCGCAGAATGCTAACGAAAGCCGAACTGGACTGGTGCATACTGGCGGTATGGGTTTCCTGGTGGTGTTAGGTGTGCTGTTAGGCTTGAGTAGGTGTTAGGGTCGGATTATTAGGCATGGTTTTGCTAATAATCAATGTTAGGTAGGGCATCATCTCATACTGATATTAGCTCTATTGTAGCTACCCCTTGCACCCACATTCGTTTCTCTCTCGTCAAAGTTAGGCTTGTGTAAGGTTCGTTTAGGTTGCTCTTGATTTTGTGTTAGGTTTAACATAATTCTTTAGGTTGCTGGCCGGCGAATTATTTCCATCGATTTCCTTGTAGGACTTAGCTCGGCCATTAGGGCTAAGTTAGGGGCGTTAGGGATACGAGTGTGGGACCATGTGAGGCTCTAAATCAAACTATACCATATAGTTTATAGAGATGATATTGACGGACTTGCTTAGAGACTTAGACTTTGAATTTGTGCTAGGATATGGCTGATAGGATGGAGTTAGGGAATTGTTTTGAAAGTGTGTGATAGTGTGTGTTTGTATGTGTGTATATATTTATGTTTGACTGTCAACACATGCATGTGTTGAAGTCAAAGACATTGGTATGGAGCTGTCATGTTGTGTTTTTGCTGATGCTTCACTACTAATGATCTCTCTATTTTTCTGTAAGGTGGTATGGCAATGGCTATTCTATGCATAGAACGCCATTTGTATAGAGGATGTTGGCTCTCTGATACGGCGGTACGAATAATAAGTGTGTAGGTGTAGGGTTCGATCTAATCTTTTTTTTAAAAGTAATTGTCATTAAGTTTTAATAAAGTTCGTATTAAATTCTAATGGTTACATTCATATTTTGTATTTGATTGGTTGTAACGTTGCACAAAAGAGTCTGTTAGTTAAGGGAATTTTACTCTTTCCTTTTTCCTTTTTCCGTGCACTGTTGCGGTGGTGGCCAAGTACTAATAATAACCCAACCCCTCTAATGTTAACCCCGAAATTCCCGAAACTAACAGAAGCTTTTATTTTCCAATTCTTTCCCTTGGTCGTTTGTATAGTTCCCTCGGTCGTTTATTTGGTTGCTTTGGACGAAGAATGTAACCACTTCTTTAAAGATAGGACTTTTTGCTAAGTGTTAGGGTATAGGGTTAATATTTTCAATTAATTTAAAGTATTAAAGTTTTTTATGATCACGATTGTTTTTCTTGAGTAGTTTCTTTTTCCATTTACATAAGTTGATTTTTACTGAGTAATATGATTTTTCCATTTTCATAATTTTTATTTTCACTGAGTAATTTGATTTTTTCTATTTTCATAATTTAGACTTAAATTATTTTGTTCCATTTTTCATAATAACTTTTTTACACTTAACAGTAAGGATTTTAGTAATTTAAATTTTAAAGTGTTAAAGATAGGGTTTAGTTAGGTGCTAGGGGTAGGAATTTTAGTAATGTAAATGTTAAAGATAGGGTTCAGTTAGGTGCTAGGATGCTTTAGGGACAAGTACCGTCGCCCCTCTTCTGACCTGTTACCTTGACTGTTATGATAAAGATGTTCCAGGATATGCTTATCCTACACAACACCAGCTTTCATGTGATATCCTCATTTCTGATTTCTTCCCCCACTAGCAGTAAGGTTAAGACTACAGGAAGGACATGCTGATGATTTAAGAATGATGTGGTGCAATAGAACTTAATTTGGTGGCAGGGAATGCTTACTATACCT